CCCCATCCACCTTCGTACTCCCACCACCCTATCCCCATCCACCCATCCCCTGTATCCCCAAATACCCTGCACCCCATCCCATCCACCTCCATATCCCCACAACACCCCACCCTATCCCCACCCGCCTTCCTACCCCCCACAACACCCTCCCTATCCTCCTATCCACCTTCCTACCCCCACAACACCTAACCCTATATCCATCCACCTTCATACCCCTACAACATCCCACCCTATCCCCATCCACCTTTTCGTACCCCCCACAACACCCCACCCCATCCCATCCATCTCCATATCCCCACAACACCCCACCCTATCCCCACCCACCTTCGTACCCCCACAACACCCTTTCCACATCCTATCCACCTTCGTACCCCCACAACACCCCACCCTAATATCCATCCACTTTCATACCCCTACAACATCCCACCCTAGTCCCATCCACCTTCGTATCCCCACAACACCCCTCCCCATCCCTATCCAACCCTGTATGCCCAAATACCCAACCCTATCCCTATCCACCTTTCGTACCTCCACAACACCCTTCACCCTATCCCTATCCATCCTGTATCCCCAAATACCCCACCCCATTCCATCCACCTCCGTATCCCCATAACACCCCTGCCCTATCCCTATCCACCTTCGTACCCCTGACAACACCCTGAATCTATTCCCATCTACCTTCGTACCCCACAACACCCCACCCTATCACCATCCACCCTGTACCTTAAATACCCCACCCTATCCCAAATCCACCTTTCGTACCAACTCAACACCCCACCCTATCCCCTATCCACCCCCTGTATCCCCAAATAGCCCACCCTATCCCCATCCACCTTCGTACCCCCACAACACCCCAACCTATCCTATCCACCTTCGTACCCCCACGACACCCCCACCCTATCCCCATCCACCTCCGTACTTCCACACAACACCCCAACCTATATCATCCACCTCCGGGACCCCCACAACACCCCACCCTAACCCCATCCACCCCCCGTATCCCCTCTAATACCCCACCCTATCCCCATCCACCTTCGTACCAACTCAACACCCCACCCTATCCCCATCCACCCCCGTATCCCCAAATAGCCCACCCTATCCCCATCCACCTTCGTACCCCCACAACACCCCAACCTATTCCCATCCACCTTCGTACCCCCACAACACCCCACCCTATCCCCATCCACCTTGAAAGCTTCTGTACCCCCACAACATCCCAAACTATCCCCATCCACCCCCTGTTTCCCCCAAATACCCCACCGTATTCCCATCCACCTTCGTACCCCCACAACACCCCACCCTATCCCCATCCACTTTGAAGGCTTCTGTACCTCCACAACACCCCTCCCCATCCCATCCATCTTCGTACCCCAACAACATGAGATCCCATCCACCTCCGTACCCCACAACACACCACCCTATTTCCACCCACCTTCTTCCCCCACAACACCCCTCCCCCATCCCACCCACCTTCGTATCCCCACAACACCCCACCCTATTCCCATCCACCTTCGTACCCCCACAACACCCCACCCAAATCCCACTCACCTTCACACACCCACAACAATCCTCCCCATCCCACCCACCTTCGTACCTCCACAACACCCCACCCTATATCCATCCACCTTCATACCCCTACAACATCCCACCCTATCCCCATCCACCTCCGTATCCCCACAACACCCCACCTTCATCCACTTTCCCAATCCCACCACGCACACAGACACGCACACGCACTCACGAACACACGCACACAAACACACAGCAGCACCACCCAAACTCCCACGCTTTCTCTCTCAATGAGAACATAAACAGCGGAACGAACCTCGCCTATAATCCTGTCACAAACTATTTATCCAACTACTCTATCCATAATCGTCGTGGTGATACGTTACACTTAAAAAATGAGAACATCATATATAATATCCGTGAGCTAAAGTTCATCGTGCATGTTTTTTAGAAGGCTGGTGTATTTCTGGAAAGGATATTATTACCTGTCATGAATATCATTGGTACATGATATAGTGCCACTCATAATACAATAGAGTGTGTCTGAAAACTGAATTTATTAAAGTGATCATTACATGCAGCTATCACAAAGAAATGATACCAGCTGTTATAGTACGACGCAAGTGCAATATAACAGAGCATACCCAGTCATTCTATTAACATTCACGTCAACTGAGGGGCGGTGGGGTAGCCTAGTGGTTGAGCATTCGCTCGTCACGCCGAGAACCCGGATTCCCACACGGATACAATGTGTGAACCCCATTTCTGGTGTCCACCGCCGTGATATTGCTAAAAGCGGCGTAAAACTAAACTCACTCACTCATGTCACCTGATTTCGATGTAAGCATGCGTCTTCCCAGACCAGCGGGTTCGATTCCCAGCTTGGTACAATGAGTGGATTGTTGGCACCATCTACTTCAGTATAGCTGGAATGCTTCTAAAATCGTCATTAACCTCACTCTTTTCCACTTATGCTCACCCACTCTTCACATCACGGGTGTCACATTTTGGAGGAGGATTCAAACGAAAAAGGTCGTCCATGAAGTCGTGAGAGGTCAAGTCGTACAGGGGTCAAGTGCCGAGGGGTCAAGCAGGTCAAATTATTACTTGATTCCTGGGGAGAACAATGTTAATAAGGTCTTAATCAATAAAGAAATTATGTATTTAAACTGACTGACTGAGTTTAGTTTTACGCCGCTTTTAGCAATATTCCAGCAATATCACGGCGGGGGACACCAGAAATGGGCTTCATACATTGTGCCCATGTGGGGAATCGAACCCGGATCTTCGGCGTGACGAGCCAACGCTTTAACCACAAGGCTACCCCACCGCCCCTGTATTTAAACCCTGACCCCGTTTATATAATGATTGTACATAGCTATAGCACCTTTCAAGGGTTAGTTGTCTACAGCAGCCCATCCTGGTCGTAGAAGGCGACTAAGGGGATTGGGTGGCCAGACTTGCTGACTGGTTGATTCATGTCACTCTGTCCTGAATGTGTAGCAAAAGCGCTCAAGATATCAATCACGAGTTCCAATGGTCCAGACTTGATTATTTACATTTCGCCGTCTAAATCTGAAATACCCGTGAAGGGCCGGGTTAGAATTGATCTTCAGTAACCCATGCTTGTCGTCAGAGGCGACTAACGGGATCAGGTGGTCAGGCTTGCGGAATTGGTTGACAAGTCATCGTGTCGCAATTGTGTAGATTGATGCTCATGCTGTTGATCACTGGATTGTCTGATCCAGACTCGATTATTTACAGACCGCCGCCATATAGCTCATTAGGATGAGAAAACCACAATAACTCGGTGCGCCTAGTGGCTGCAAGAGTTGTATACTCCCCAGGGAGTTGAGATTGCTAATACGATGTGCCATTGAGATTGACATCCAATGATCGAGGGGAAAAAATATCAGCGCCTTGAGCAAGCACTAGTTGCCTGGATATGTGCGCTATATAAGTATCCTATAAAAAAAAAATTAATAATAATAATAATATAGCTGGAATACTGATGAGTGCGGCATAAAACTAAACTCACTCACTCACTCACTCACTCACTAAATGTGAAACATTGCTGAGAACAACAAGCAAACGGTGTACATATGTGTAGCGAGAAAGCGCATGACGTATAGTACTTGTGAGTCGGTCACTGAGTGCTGGGGCTAACTACAAACTCGATCAGCCTTGACTGTATCTATATTAGCTGTTACCCAGTTTTAAAGTAGTGGATTTGTATGTCGAGAAAAGTCAATACTTTCTAGACTGACTATCAGTCAGTTCAAAAATAGAATTCTTTTTTATCTTCAGACAAGCTAAAATTCTAAGTAGGCCTTTTGCTGGGCAGCCAACCGCTAGTAACGATGTCACGGCGACATATTTAACGCTGCACTTAATGACTTGTCCGTTCGTCCAAGGACCAATCTGTTGCCACAACCAGCAATATTTCAGCAATAGGGCGGCGGTCGGTAAATAATTGAGTCTGGACTAGAAATCAAGTGATCAAAAGCATGAGCATCGATCTCAATGGGATACGATGACACGTGTCAACCATGTCAGCGAGCCTGACCACCCGATCCCGTTAGTCGCCTCTTACGACAAGCACGGGTTACTGAAGAACTGTTTTAACCCGGATGTTCACGGGTCGGCGACCTATGAATGTTATTTTATTTATGACAGAGAAACTATTGTTGTTAAACTCATTGCAGTCGGGGTAAACTGACAACCATGTCACACATTTTAACCATTCAATGGTGGACACCCATAGAGATGGAATTATTGACCGGTTCCAGGGGAAAACAGGCGGATGTTTTTCGGATTTAATCTGTGGTGAACCGACAGAGGGAAAAACATATTTGACAGTTAGACAGACCAAAAGTACTGCAAAAACTATTCTCCCAGAGGATGTCATGTGTCTGAGGCACGTGTGATTCACATCCAAACATCACCTGGGAGCATAAGTTTATGAGGGTGGTTAAAACGGTCCTTCGTCAAACCGAAGACACCGTTTCGATTCCTCACACACGGTGTGTAAAGCCTTTTTCTGATGTCCACCGACATGATATTGTGGAATATCGCTAAAAGCTGTATATAACTAAACTCACATGCTTCAAGATGAAGAAACCTCACCAACGAATGTTCACTGGAAGAACGAGATATTTTACGAGGGCTTCATACCCGGTTTTCATTGTAGCAGTCCTAAATAACCACGTGACAGTGATCGAGTGATGAGTGAGTGAGGGTGGGTGGGGTATATTCACGTGTTTGTTATGAATGAAAAAATAGTTACGTCAGAATGTGACCTAATTGAGAGGTCATCGGTTATCCAATCAAATCGTTAGAATCTCAGGTCAAGTCGTTACGACACAGGTCAACGCGATACGACACTTGTGTGACGTACGAGATTAGTATGCAACTACCCATACGTTGACCACGTGGGTAATAAATGACCATGCCGATCCTGCCCATATGGGGGTGGCAAAAAAAAGTCAATATCATGGAAAATATCACTGTATTAAGTGATAAGAATATGTAACTGCATGTTAATTACACATACAGTTAAGACTATACATTGTGTGTATATATATACTTTGAAAAGCTGGCAGCTGTTAAGGTTTTTTTCAGGCATGTCAACAGATGACAGATATTAGTAGTTTACACGGATCGTATGAGAGAACAGACCAAACATTAAAGGGAAGCTTGAAGCACATTTTAAAGTATTTCAAGATGCTAATGTAAAAGAATATTCTAAATATGTCATTTTACCATTTCTTTTGCTTGCTGAGGGCTATATCATCAACATTTACCAATAAGCAAACGTAGGAATTTCTTCCCGAGTTCACAGTCATTTTCTTACCACACCTAAGCCTCCTGTTGAAGAAGGGGTTCCAGTAACACTCTGGTTTACTAGAGGCAAAAGGCATCTCAAGTGGTGGTCCAGAGCGATGAGGGCCTTTGAGATGTTCTTTAGTGGTTCGAGACTCTGGGTAAGCTCAGTTATCTTCTCGACCAGACCCCCCTCTTCCCACGGAGCCCTGACTTCCGGTTCCCCTTCAATACCACTTAGTGATGTCTGACCCTCAGTGTCAATGTCAGGTTCGACCTCGACCTCTGCTGATTCTTCAGGTTCACTTGCGAGGTTATATCCTTGTTCGCTGCTAAATGACATTGCTGGTTCTTCTGTTCTTTCTGTAAAAAATGTCGTCGCCTTCTGAGCCTCGTTGTGGATCTTGGTAATTCCGATCCCATGATCCTCTTCGAGATTGTTCTTCGTTTTTGTTTTCTCTTTTGCGCCAGAATCGTTGGTTACAACGTGTCCATTTTCCCGACGCAAATTTTGATGCGCGTCACTGACTGGTAGGTCTAGTTTGGTCAAAGTGTATGAGTGCTGGCCCCGTGATGACGTCAGTTTAGGCTTTTTATTAAGTTTGTCTGGTTCTGATGTTCTGCGCTGTTGTCTCCATTTTGTGCCGTTCTGTTCTCCTCTCCCCGATATATATCTTCTTTCGATCGTGTTTCCTTCTCTGTCCTCCATTTTCCTTTTTCTTTCTCCACCGTTTTCTTCTCTGCTCTCTGATTTCTTTTTTCTTTCTCCGCCCTTTCCTTCTCTGACTTCCGATTTCCTTTTTCTTTCTCCGACGTTTCCTTCTCTGACTTCCGATTTCCTTTTTCTTTCTCCGTCGTTTCCTTCTCTTTTGTCCACTGTCTTTCTTCTTTTACTTGTGCTTCCTCCTCCTTCTTTAGATTTAGTTCTCTCTCTTGTGTTTCTTTCTCCTTCCTTGTCTTTGTCTGATTCTGTCTGCCCATGTGTATTACCAAGGCCCATACAAGAACCGACAACGATACCGACAGATTCGTAATTGTATTCGATAACCTTGTTCCCGCTCTGCTTGTAGACAGGTTCATCCTCACGATAAAGGAAAATATCTCGTCCAATTTGTACTTCATACGGGCTTTGGGATTTTTTGTACTCAATTATTCCTACAGGGTTTCGCTTTAATGCCTCTTGATGACGAAAACGATTTGTATGACAGTGGAGCTGGACAAGCGACACAGCCTTGAAATCGCACAGGGAACACGTCCACGGAGCCTCCTCATGGCTCAGGTGGGTTCGGATGAAATGCTCTATTAACGTGTCCCGTTTACCATTCGCGAAGCACCTACTGCATTCGTAGATTTCAGAGGTCATGCTTTTTCCTGAAAGAAAAAGTAATAATTCTGCCAGCGAAATACCCTAAAGAACCCGAAGAGTTTTCAAGGGAAGGACTATCAGGTATTATTTCTTTTTCTTTTTCTTATTCTTTTCTCTTTTGCCTTTAAAGTGGATAAACCAGTGTATGATTCGATGACTAGTCAATGAAAAATCCCTCACTTCAACATTTGAGTTTATGATAGGTTGAATATTCAAGCATGGCTACTTGTCCGGCTGGAAATGAGTGTTTACTCAAGCTATTATATACTACCCATCAAAAGTTTACACTCACTAGTGTAAATGTAGCCACTTACTTCAGTCAATTGTTCTAAACTAGATTTTGCAAAATATTCCATACTGTTTAAAGGTACTGTTTGCACATGAACTGATGTATTGTAAAACAAATTCGTAACGTTGAAAAGATTATTGTCATGAGTTCAATAAATGATGAAACTCAGTGAAAATTGGCGAATTCTTAACAAAACTTTACACCAAAACGCAGCTGTTCCCATGCACGATATTTGCACATGCTTTTCAGCAATCTGATGCATGATCCTCGTGCAATTCATCTGCATAAGGTTTACAGATGGTTCCCCAAGTTAGGGGAGAAATTCATCTTCGATGGAACCACATATATAACCTAGCATATAGTGAGTGCTTTAACTGAGTCTAAACTTTTGATGGGTAGTATACTTAATGATGGACACAACAAACTTACTATATTATTTGCAAAAAAGATGTAAACACATAATGTTTTTATTTCACGTTAGAACACCAGTATGTTGTTGAATAGTAAACTGTTGTAAGTTTAAACAATATATACTCATGTCAATAATGGTTGTCCTCCCCTCCCACCCCAACCCACACACACCTCCCACCCCACTCCACACCCCCTCTCCAATTAAAAATTGAAGGGGTGACAACCATTATTGGCATGAGTATATAATAAAATCAAACCACTTACCTGTCGAACTGTTGTGAAACGCTCATGACAATCCACTAAGACTGACCCACCAAACTGGCTTTAACCTTGGGTAGCTACTTCCTGGAATTAGCATTAGTTTCCCCGAAGCAAAAGTGAAAATAGAGAAAAAGGGTCTATCATGCCCTTATCAGCTAAACTGGGTCCATTTCTTTCTTATCACTGATAATATCGAGGGGTACAAAAAGTCCGCAGTCTAGACTACCAGTTGTCCGACATATTTGTGGAGGTCGCGGTGGCTGAGCGGGTTAGGCGTCTGACTTTGTGTGCTGGCGATTAGGCGCCTGACTCTGAGGGTGTGAGTTCGAATCCCGGATGGTACTCAGCCCAACAAAAGTACTAGAATCTGTACTAGAAAGTGTAATCACAAATATAACAAATGTTACCTGTCAGAAGTAATTAAAAAATGACGAGGGGCAGATAATCCGCCATTCTATGTTGCACGAAAGTCATCCTTGTCGTACCCATTGTCTTGTTTTTAATTACACATTGTCAATACTCCTCAGAAGTAATAGCACAAGTGAAAGAAAAATATATTTTTCAAAAACGACAATAAAACGTTTGACACTTCACATGTGATAATAAAAATAAAACATTATACGTATCATATCTTTGCTGGGCAATTTGCAATAAATGTGTTTCAGTAGTGACCGAAAAGCACCCTATCTCTGTCCCAAAAAAAACCCAAAATATAACATTTCATTTTAAACGTGCACAGGCAGTAAGTCCGTGTTTTATCGTACATGTGTGTGAATGTAGTTTTACGCCGCTTTTCGAAATATTCCAGCTATGTAGTCTAGTCTAGTCTAGGTAGTCTAGTGGTTAAATCGTTCGCTCGTCATGCCCAAGACCCGGGTTCGATTTTTCCCCTAGGTACAATGTGTGAAGCCCATTTCTGGTGTCCCCCACCGCGACCCGTGAAGATCCGGTTAGAATTGGTCGTCAGAGGCGACTATAGGGATCGGGTGGTCAGGCTCGCTGACCAGGGTCACACATGTCATCGTATCCCAGTTGCGTAAATCGATGCTCATGCTGTTTGTCACCGGATTGTCTGGTCCTGACTCGAGTATTTACAGACCGCCACCACATAACTGGAATAACTGCTGAGTGCGGCGTTAAGCAACAAACCAACCAACCAGCCTCTTACGACCTGCGCATGTTGCTGGGTATGTGTTTTTAAACTGGTATCACGGTGTCGAACAGCCGAACCGCGATTCACGAGGGCCGGTCAGATCTTGATAAACAAGCCGTCATAATTTGTAGGGCCTGGGACACACACACACACGCACGCACGCACACACTGACACACACACTGACACACACACACACACACACACACACACACACACACACACACAGACACACACACACAGACACACACACACAGACACACACTGACATCCGCTTTTTAACAAAGACAAGTAACACCTGAACAGTTCTAGAAATTGTACAGTGTTTTATGTAAAGGTGAGACACTTTATATAAGACAGCATAATAAACCTAATTGCTTTTGAATACGACCATGGGGCGTCGATGTAGCTTAGTGGCTGAAGCGTTCATCTTTCATCCTGAACAACGGGTTTGATTCCTTCCAACCAATTCAAACCCCATGGCAACAATGCAAGAGTATCTGTGTCGGCTCTCGTCGCAATATAAACGGATAATTGTTAAATTTGTATCATCGTACTCACTCACAAAGTTTCTTTTTCCCCTGACCAGAGGAGCTGGAAAAAGCATGTGGCACTTTCGGAAGGATAAGAATATATGGACAACGTTATTAATGTCTTAGGAGCGAGGTTTCACATGCCTGATACAGTGTTAAAAAACCTACCCCCGAAACGTCGCTCCAGTTGAACTTAAGATGATGTTCATCCATGTTTTATTATCCTGAGCTGACTGCGTCCGTGGTGTAGTGGTTAGAGCGTCCGCCCGGAGAGCGGAAGGTCGCGGGTTCGATCCCCGATCGCGTCATACCAAAAGACGTTAAAATATGGTACTTGTTGGTCCCTGCCTGGCGCTCGGCATTAATGGGTACATCAAGGACTGGTCGGCTCGGAGTCAGTATAATGTGTCTGAGTGGGGTATTCATGCTTCACTGGGCATGGTATCTCAGTGGACTAGCACTATAAAACCAGCTTCAGTCTGGGCTAGTACAAGCAGCCGCACATACATATACACACACGCATGCACGTCGTCATATGAGCGAAATATTCTCAAGCACGACGTTAAACCCAATTTCACCTCACCTCACCTCCTTCTAAATGCCTCTCGAAAACGTTATGTGGGTGAGCTAGTTCATCAAGGTTATTATTATTGCAGATGTTCGGGGAAAACCATAGATGTGATACAAGACGGTTCCCATACAGGTTACACTACACTAAATCAGAATCCGTATTTGAACAAGCACTTTTCGTAGGAACCATCTGACAGTTGTGATTGGGTGATTTTATGTAAGATGTTTGTGTTCTTTGTACATCCATCCCGTAATTATAACTGACCATATTTTTCAATATATAGTGCTGTCTTTTTTACATGATAACTTATACTGAATGTAAGCACAGGTATTGTCAAACAGTTGACATTTTATTCGGAACTTGGGTTGGTCTGTTTAGCTTCCTGGGTCCTTATTCTCGAAACGTTCGTAACCCTAAGCAATTTTCAGTCCTAACCTTGCATTTTAGGTCCCACAGTATTTTATTGCTGATTTTATAAGTTTAATATATGTAGATCATAAAACAGCTGGATGCCAACTTGGCACCCTTGAGGGTTTTGAATAAAACATGTTTTAAGATGCAGCCTTGACATCTCAAGCGCCAGCAGAGGACCATGTGGACGCACAATAAGTTGTTGGGTACGTAGCACAAAATGGAGTACTTCCTGTGATAAGCTGGGCCCCGTCTCGCATATCGCAAAGAGAGCCGGGAACCAGCTTATTCCTGTGAAGTCTGTTTACATTAGCTACTCAACTGTAACATCATCTGCCCAAATAATATGGCACAATGGTAAATTATTTTTGTTGTCCAACTGATTTATAACATGTACAACATTGTAAATCTGAGTAATTGTATGAAAGATATGTGACAAAAATAATTCAGATCAAAATGCAAACTAGTGAAGCGTCGTCTGCTAGGCTTAGTATCTGCATCAGCTGCATTCTTCATCTGATGTTGAAATCTATCAGAACCACTTATATATGCATTCATATATTCATGTTTGCAAACAATGTTCAAAGATTTTCGTAGAAGAAATGTCTCCTTTCTCTTGAATTGATAGTTTGATGTAGTGTGTACTACTTTCTGAACAACAAATCATACAGCCATTGGGCTGTATTGACTATGCAAGTAGGGACAAGTTTTTAATTATTTTTTTCTCTAAACTGAATAACAGCATTAATCTAAGTGATAGTATTGATTTGTAGATACTATTTTCCTGTGGACTACAGTCATGACAATGATTTACATCAAACTTAAATGAAACAGATTTTTTGGCAATATGTGCCCAGTAAGGTGCTATAACATAATATGATACTTCATAATTTTAATTAAAGTAATTGATAACTGGTACAGTCTGCAGAGAATGATATTGTATATGTATTTGGTTTGTAAATATTTAAAACATTTGTCATAATTGTGTTATACCTTTCAATATACCTTGTTCAACTACCCTTCAATATTTTATTTTTGCACATTTTAAGAGAAATAAAATATAGCCTTTTGTTTCTTTAATTTCAGACTGGTGTTGAGGAATGTATATTTAAGATAGTTGGCTGCTGTAGTACCCCAAATCAGAAACTGACAACTAACCCGACGACACAGCGTATCACATCTATTATTGATGCTAGCAAGATCTGACAGGATGACCTGCATTTAGGAATTGAACGAAATAGTATTTATTTTGAAGAAAATGGATATTCTACCACAAAAACTGTGTATCTACTTACACATCAAAGACAAATCTTAAAAGACTTACAAAATCATGTTCAGAAATATGCCTGTTACAACCACCCAAAAAGAGAAGCCGTCGTTCAGATTCAGCTGCTGACTTCAACTTTCTCGAACATTGTGTATTCTGTGGGAGACCATGTGAAATTGAGAAAGACTCTAGAAATCCTAGACGATGGAAGAGATCTATCCTTTGCCGAACTGCGGATGATGGCCAAAGATCCTTCAAGAATATAATTCTTGGCACATGTGACATACGTCAGGATAAGTGGGGAGATGAAGTTAGACTGAGAGTAGAAGGAGCCATAAGTGATCTTCATGTTGCAGAAGCAAGATATCATGACAACTATCGTACAAATTTTATGGCCCCCAAATCTGTTCGATTAGCCATTTCAAAATTGAAAGGAACTGAGTCAAGCTCAGATGAAGCATTTGATTATGTGATTAGATCAATGAATGCTGATCGGAAACAAATCAGAAACTCCACAGAAGTATACAACCAGTACCTGGAGAGTGGTGGGGTCAAGCTTTCAAACAGACAGTTTATTGAAGAAATATCAAGGTGTTTTGCCGATGAACTGATTATTCTAAGACGAAAAGGAATAGCCAGTATTCTTGTCTTCCGGCAAACTGCAACAGACACCCTTAAGGTGGTCCTTGATGAAACTGAAGATGATGATTTGACTTCTTCCATGAAGAAAATTTCCAAACAGGTACGACAAGAGACTAAACAAATACCGCTTTCCAAAGAAGAATACAAAAAAAAGAATAGACTGCCAGATTGCAGGAGAGAGTTGTAGTCCAACATTTCAAGAACTCTTGAGTTACATTCTCCAAGGTGAAGAACATGCGCTACCAGTCCTGATGATTTGTAATATGATTACTGGTCTACTTAAAAAAGCAACCAACACCACTGCAGACAAGTCTTGGAGTATTCATCAAAGGAAAAGATCTGATTCAAGAATTGAACAAGTTTGGTTTTATGTGCAGCTATGATGAAGTTCTTTGATTCAAAAAGTCAGCAGCCCTTCCATCAAATGATGTCACATCTAGAGGATTAAGGTTGGAATCACCAACAGAAACTCCCCTTGTACAAGTCATAGTCGACAACTTTGATGCCAACATTTCCAGCCAAAATGGACTCCAATCAACACATGCTCTTGCAATGCTTCTAACTCAGACACTTGATGACAAGAACACTGGTGACAAAGATACATTTCGTCGGATAAAGAAAGAGGAAATGACACAGCAAGTGCATGATGAAATCACAGTAGAATGATACACAGGTCCCAAAAAGCCAAACATGCCTAAGGACTGCATCACAAAGTCAGTTAAACCACTGAAAATTTTAGCCATGCAGATTGTCTGGACATCATGTGCAACTGTTAGGGATGTAGGCTTCTTTTTTAAAGTTGTTCAAGATGCCTCCTGTACAGAATGGAACGGCTATAATAGTGCACTGAACAGAAGGGAAGGTCACACAGTCAGGTCGAAAACAACATCAGTTTACACTCCTTTGAAAGACATGAAACCAGCTGACCCTGACACCGTGTTAACTGCTATGAAGGAAGCTGACAAATTGACTAATTGACACATGTGACCAACAATTTTACAGGGTGGCAGTTCACATAACATGGGTATACCCAGAAAGATTCAGTCATTTCTGTCTACGCCTAGGAGGAATGCACTGCCTTATGAACTTTATTGGATGTGTTGGCACACTGATGGCTGGAAGTGGACTGTCGGACATTCTTGAAAGTTCTTTTGGAAGTGTAGCAAACATGATGTCAGGAAAGAGATATCCTCAAAATTTACGAGCCTTAAAAATTCTTGTTGAAGAACTATTACGGAACGTGCTAACAGAGGTATCCACGCCAGATGACTTATTTAGCATCTTGGAAGAAAGAGCAAGACAAGCCAGAACAACAAGACTGTGGCTCGATATGCTGATCAAGCCAGTTTTACTGATGCTACAGTTTGTCAGAGCTGAGAAAGAAGCAGATTGGCCACTCCATTTTCTTGCAGTTAAGTTGATGATGCCCTACTTCTTTGCTGCTGGACATCAGAACTATGCACGTTATGGCCTGTACTATCTTAGAACAGCAGAAGATCTCAATCCAGAACAACTTGAGAAATTTCTGAAAGGGGAACATGTCACGCGCCATACACCTGGGAGTTGGAATGGGATATGGACAGACATGATGATTGAGACTACATTCATGAAATATGGAAAGGGTCCAGATGGCATCATTGGCATCACCTTAAAACCAAATACTCTAAAGACATGGGCCTTGAGTCTTCATACTTGCAGTGTTTTGTCAAACGATATCTCTGATATGACAACCAAGGATAAATCAACAAGTCAAATTCACAAAGAAGAAATGAAAGGCCGAATCTCAGCAGGTTCAAAAGATCATAAAAACATTCGCCAGAAACTCCAAGAGTCAAGTGATCCATTAGATGTGTCACAGCTCCCTACAGATAAACTGTTGCAGGTTGTGAGTGGCAGATTTGCAGACAGTTCTGTGAATGTTGATAAGGGACTGGCAGTAGGCCAGGAAGAAATGGAGAAATTTGAAAGGTCATGGCCAGATGGATTCCATAGGCCTTTGTCAAAGAAAATAAAAACTAGGGCTGTCTTGAAGAATCATGTTCAGATTGGATCTGCAAATTTGTATGACACAAATCTTATCTACTCAAGAATCATTGGACTTCAAGCCACAGGGAGAGATATCAACATTGTCCAAGTCTTAACATTTGAGTTGGCACCAGTGCCTACTTCTTTGTTTACTGATGAAGGTGTTATGAGAACAGCCACAAACAAATCTATTTTGAAGAACAACTTGCAGGTTGAACTGTCAGAAGGTCTCCCCTTGGACCAAAAAAGTATTATCATTGATGGTTCTGCAATGCTGTGGGTGGTTCACTGGCCAAAAGACGGAAAAGTAAAAGATTTCATTGACAACGTTGTTTCATACGTAATGAGGAAAATGAAAGAAGCTGATGTGTACCTTGTGTTTGACAGGTACTTTGAATTCAGCATCAAAGGTGTCACTAGATCATCACGGGACAAAGAAGCCAACAGACAACGCAAGATTTATCTTTCCATGCCCCTCCCACCACAGACGATTCTACTCACAGTTACTTCAAACAAAGTTCAATTGATAGATCTTGTAGTAGATTGCCTCCAAGAGATGAGAGAATCACTGAAAGTCTGCACACACAAGTTAGTTTTAACTGGAAGGTCCCCGGTACCCATGAGGAAGCTGATGTTATCATCATACAGCAAGTGGTATCTGTTGCAGAGTCACTTACCAATGCATCTATTACAGTGGTGTGTGATGACACTGATGTGTTCGTGCTGCTACTACATTTCTACCTGTGCCAACAATTAACATGTCAGCTATGCATGGAGTCAACATCATCTGTGAACAAGAAGTGCATCGACATTAAGGCCACAGCTGAGAAACATTCTGCTATTATTCCCACACTTCTTGCAATTCATGCCCTTACAGGCTGTGACACAGTGGCTCAGTGCTGGGGTATTGGAAAATCTACTGCTGTGAAATTGTTAAAAGGTAATTACCATCTTCATCATGTTGGGGATCTGTCTGCTTCCACTGAAGAAATCATACAAGAATCTGTGTCATTTCTGTCTGCATGTTATGGACACACTGCATCTTCAATGCATGAGCTTCGATTCAAGGTGTGGAAATCAAAAGTTGGAAGAAGAAATGCTCTCTCATCTGTGAAGATTATGTCATTGCCACCTACTCAGGAGGCATTTGAGCAGAATGCACTGAGGGCTCACCTGCAAACCTGCATCTGGAAACTTGCTTTAGATGAAGATCCCCCAACACTAGATCCTCTCAAGCATGGCTGGATTAAAGAAACTCTCAACCAGACCTTGCTTCCAGTTTTGCTTCCACCAGGGACCCCATCAGCTTCCGACTACATTCTCAAACTGCTGAAATGTTGTTGTGAAAACTACACCTCAGCAAAGTGTGGATGTGCTGTTGCTCGACTTCCCTGTACAATGTTCTGCGAGTGTACAATATGTGATGACTGCTATAACCAGCACACCAGAGCTGCCCTTAGAGTGCTCAATGAAAGTGACTGACATTTCAAATCCATTGTGCCAAGAGTCTGAAACAGACTTTGCCTATGACTCTCACTCATGAATACAGACTCAAATTGATTTGGGTAATTATTTGTATTATGCAAGTTCTTCACTTTTGTAGAATTGTAAGTAACAATCAGTCTATATATCATACAGTTTGGACATGGATTTTAAATGGATAATAATATTCATAATTCATGCATAAGATTCTATGAAACAATAAGATTAAAGCCCTGAATAGATGTTGTAATAACAATTTATTATCCATACAACTAATTTAATAACATCCTTGCCCTGTTTTTCGGGTATAAATCAACTATATTCATGTCAGAAATTACACAACAAAATAATTGCCTTATTCTAGAGTAAAATGGTTTTGATTGAATACTGTCTGGATAAAAGAGTTGTTTTTTTAAAAATAACCCATAATTCCCTTTGTTTAAATACTGTAAAGAACTCACATATCATGTGTGGAGCAACAGTTGTGAAAACATGTTTGTATACTAAGAATATACAACACCTGTAATCACTGTAAAGCTCATAGTGTGTTTATTTGTAACCACCAAAATGTTGCCGATTATCAAAAGAGGGTCATTTTTTTTGAAAAATCATTTTTTTTTAAAACCCTCAAGGGTGCCAAGGTGGCATCCGATAGTTTATTCATCTTTAGTGTCTGAGGGAATGAAATCATGCAAAAACTATTGTGGGACCTAAATTGCAAGGTCATGTCAACATTCTGCCGGACTACTTAACATAACATCACTGCCACAGGCTAATTTGCATATCACGTGACCGGACTTTTCTCTTGTTTGTAATCAAACGCGCATATTCATAATAAGAAGAGACTGAAAGCTTTTCGGCGCTCTCTTCATAATGTTTTACATTGTTACATCTATATTCTTCCACAACTGCGACAGTAAGGTCTATGACAGTACATATTTAGTTATCAAACTGGCTGCATCGTTCGCTCTTCGTCGGCTTCGATGACAGCACGTGGAACCGTACAACCTATGTAAACAAAGGATCGCTACGCAAATCGAAATAGTGTTACATGTTTTTGGATATTTTCTCAGTGAAACTAAACCATTCTATTAAAGATATTTAGTCAGATGTGTAGACTCGTCAAAAATAAAAGAGTAAAAGAAATATGTACATTATATTGAATGGACATTGCAAGATGTGGCGAATCGTCACATTTTTTTTCTGGCCTGTGGCAGAGGTACTATGCTGGCTTGCCGCATGGAACTCTGGGTAGGAGAGTGGTCTTACATACATTAAATTGACAAAATAGCGTATTTTTGTTATATTTATGGCTTCAAACCGAAACCGGTTTCATAAAGAGGTTGCGGAAGAATTTGTGTACTGTAGTACAATATTTGCATGACGTCACACTGTAATGACGTCACTGCCTTGGTAACCGACGTCACGATGCATGTCAGTTGTCATCGCCTCGTACAGCCTCCTACAGTAAACTACTCCGTAGCACCCCGTTTCTTGGTTTGCAGTTGCTTCATTCGGCTAACATCACTGGTGGAAACATTGCGTTTATGTTTTTCGACGGATATAATGTCTCAGTTCGACTCACAATTTAACAGCGACACGGCAACGTTCGCAATGTTTACATTCCCACAATGCATTTAAGTTGTAGAATGAATGAATTCACGTGTTTGTTATGAATGAAAAAATAGTTACGTCAGAATGTGACCTAATTGAGAGGTCATCGGTTAGCCAATCAAATCGTTAGAATCTCAGGTCAAGTCGTTACGACACAGGTCAACGCGATACGACACTTGTGTGACGTACGAGATTAGTATGCAACTACCCATTCGTTGACCAATTGGGTAATAAATGACCATGCCGATCCTGCCCATATTGGGGTGGCAAAAAAGTCAATATCATCGAAAATATCACTGTATTAAGTGATAAGAATATGTTACTGCATGTTAATTACACATAAAGTTAAGACTATACATTGTGTGTATATCTATATTTTGAAAAGCTGACAGCTGTTGAGTTTTTTGCAGGCATGTCAACAGATGACAGATATTAGTAGTTTACACGGATCGTATGAGAGAACAGCCCAACTGACTGACTGAGTTTGGTTTTACGCCGCTTTTAGCAATATTCCAGCAACATCACAGCGGGGGACACCAGAAATGGGCTTCACACATTGTACCCATGTGGGGATTCGAACCCGGGTCTTCGGCGTGACGAGCCAACGCTTTAACCATTAGGCTACCCCCCGCCCCAGAACAGACCAAACATTAAAGGGAAGCTTGAAGCACATTTTAAAGTAATTCAAGATGCTAATGTAAAAGAATATTCTAAATATGTCATGTTTACCATTTCCTTTGCTTCTTGAGGGCTATATCATGAACATTTACCAATAAGTAAATGTATGAATTTCTTCCCGAGTTCACAGTCATTTTCTGACCGCACCCAAGCCTGCTGTTGAAGAAGGCGGTCCAGTAAGAATCTGGTTTACTAGAGGCAAAAGGCGTCTCATGTGGTGGTCCAGAGCGATGAGGGCCTTTGAGATGTTTCTTAGTGGTTCGAGACTCTGGGTAAGCTCAGTTATCTTCTCGACCAGAGCGCCCTCTTCCCACGGAGCCCTGACTTCCGGTTCCCCTTCAATACCACTTCGTGATGTCTGACCATCAGTGTCAGTGTCAGGTGCGACCTTGACCTCTTCTGATTCTTCAGGTTCACTTGCGAGGTTATATCCTTCTTCGCTGCTAAATGACATGGCTGGTTCTTCTGTTCTTTCTGTAAAAAATGTCGTCGCCTTCTGAGCCTCGTTGTGGATCTTGGTCATTCCGATCCCATGATCCTCTTCGAGATTTTTCATCGTTTTTGTTTTCTCTTTTGCGCCAGAATCGTTGGTTACAACGTGTCCATATTCCCGTCGCAAATTTTGATGCGCGTCACTGACTGGTAGGTCTAGTTTGGTCCAAGTGTATGAGTGCTGGCCCCGTGATGACGTCAGTTTAGGCTTTTTATTAAGTTTGATGTTCTGATCTGGTTCTGATGTTCTGTGCTGTTGTCTCCTGTTTTTGCCGTTCTGTTCTCCACTCGATATATATCTTCTTTCGATCGTGTTTCCTTCTCTGTCCTCCGTTTTCCTTTTTCTTTCTCCACTGTTTTCTTCTCTGCTCTCTGATTTCTTTTTTCTTTCCCTGCCCTTTCCTTCTCTGACTGCCGATTTCCTTTTTCTTTCTCTGACCTTTCCTTCTCTGTCCTCCGATTTCCTTTTTCTTTTTCCGTCGTTTCCTTCTCTTTTGTCCATTGTCTTTCTTCTTTTACTTGTGCTTCCCCCTCCTTCTTGGGACCTAGTTCTTTCTCTTGTGTTTCTTTCTCCTTCCTTGTCTTTGTCTGATTCTGTCTGCCCATGTGTATTACCAAGGCCCATACAAGAACCGACAACGATACAAGCAGATTCGTGATTGTATTCGATAACCTTGTTCCGGCTGTGCCCGTAGACAGGTTCATCCTCACGATAAAGGAAAATATCTCGTCCAACTTGTACTTCATACGGGCTTTTGGATTTTTTGTACTCAACTATTCCTACAGGGTTTTGCTTTAATGCCTCTTGATGACGAAAACGATTTGTATGACAGTGGAGCTGGACAAGCGACACAGCCTTGAAATCGCACAGGGAACACGTCCACGGAGCCTCCTCATGGCTCAGGTGGGTTCGGATGAAATGCTCTATTAACGTTTCCCGTTTACCAATCTCGTAGCACTTACTGCATTCGTACATTTCAGAGGTCATGCTTTTTCCTGAAAGAAAAAGTAATAATTCTGCCAGCAAAATACCCTAAAGAACCCGAAGAGTTTTCAAGGGAAGGACTATCAGGTATTATTTCTTTTTCTTTTTCTTATTCTTTTCTCTTTTGCCTTTAAAGTGGATAAACCAGTGTATGATTCGATGACTAGTCAATGCAAAATCCCCCACTTCAACATCTGAGTTAATGATAGGTTGAGTATTCAAGCATGGCTACTTGTCCGGCTGGAAATGAGTGTTTGCTCAAGCTATTACATACTACCCATCACTAGTGTAAATGTAGCCACTTACTTCAGTCAATTGTTCTAAACTAGATTTTGCAAAATATTCCATACTGTTTAAAGGTACTGTTTGCACATGAACTGATGTATTGTAAAACAAATTCGTAACGTTGAAAAGATTATTGTCATGAGTTCAATAAATGGTGAAACTCAGTGAAAATTGGCGAATTCTTAACAAACCTTACACCAAAACGCAGCTGTTCAAATGCACGATATTTGCACATGTTTTTCAGCAATCTGATGCATGATCCTCGTGCAATTCATCTGCATAAGGTTTGCAGTTGGTCCCCCAAGTTAGGGGAGAAATTCATCTTCGATGGAACCACATATATAACATAGCATATAGTGAGTGCTTTAACTGAGTCTAAACTTTTGATGGGTAGTATACTTAATGATGGACACAACAAACTTACTATATTATTTGCAAAAAAGATGTAAACACATAATGTTTTTATTTCACGTTAGAACACCAGTATGTTGTTGAATAGTAAACTGTTGTAAGTTTAAACAATATATAATAAAATCAAACCACTTACCTGTCGAACTGCTGTGGAACGCTGATGACAATCCACTAAGACTGACCCACCAAACTGGCTTTAAGCTTGGGTAGCTATTCCTGGAAATAACATTAGTTCCCCCGAAACAAAAGTGAAAATATAGAAAGAGATGTTATCATGCCCTTTTCAGCTAAACTGGGTCCATTTCTTTCTTATCACTCATGATCATAATACCATAATATCGAGGGGTACATAAAGGCTGCAGTCTAGACTACCAGTTGTCCGACATTTTTGTTGAGGTCGCGGTGGCTGAGCGGGTTAGGCGTCTGACTTTGTGTGCTGGTAATAAGGCGCCTGACTCTGAGGGTGTGGGTTCGAATCCCGGATGGCACTCAGCCCAACACAAGTACTAGAATATGTACTAGAAAGTGTAATCACAAATATAACATATGTTACCTGTCAGAAGTAATTAAAAAATGACGAGGAGCAGATAATCCGCCATTCTATGTTGCACGAAGGTCATCCTTGTCGTACCCATTGTCTTGTTAATTACACATTGTCAATACTCCTCAGAAGTAATAGCACAAGTGAAAGAAAAAAATATTTTTCAAAAAAGACAATAAAACGTTTGACACTTCACATGTGATAATAAAAATAAAACAATATACGTATCATATCTTTGCTGGGCATTATGCAATAAATGTGTTTCAGTAGTGACCGAAAAACACCCCATCTCTGACAAAAAAAAACCCAAAATATAACATTTCATTTTAAAAGTCCGTGTTTTATCGTAAAATGTGTGTATGTAGTTTTACGCCGCTTTTCGAAATATTCCAGCTATGTCACGGGGTAGTCTAGTGGTTAAATCGTTCGCTCGTCACGCCCAAGACCCGGGTTCGATTTTTCCCCTAGGTACAACGTGTGAAGCCCATTTCTGGTGTCCCCCGCCGCGACCCGTGAAGATCCGGTTAGGATTGGTCGTAAGAGGCGACTATAGGGATCGGGTGGTCAGGCTCGCTGACCAGGGTCACACACGTCATCCTCCACCAGTTGCGTAGATCGATGTTCATGCTGTTTTTCACCAGATTGTCTGGTCCTGACTCGAGTATTTACAGACCGCCACCACATAACTGGAATAACTGCTGAGTGCGGCGTTAAGCAACAAACCAACCAACCAGCCTCTTACGACCTGCGCATGTTGCTGGGTATGTTTTTTAAACTGGCATTACGGTGTCGAACAGCCGAACCGCGATTCACAAAGGCCGGTCATATCTTTATAAACAAGCAGTCATAATTTGTAGGGCCTTGGACCCCTCCCCACTGACACACACACACACACCCTGACACCCGCTTTTTCACAAAGACAAGTAACACCTGAACAGCTGTAGAAATTGTACAGTGTTTTATGTAAAGGTGACACACTTTATATGTGACAGCATAATATATCATTGGTGCACTGTTATAAACAGTAAACTGCTTTATAACAGTAAACTGCTTTATAACAGTAAACAGTTAACTGCTTTATAACAAACATGTTTATAACGAACTGGGATGTTTTTCCCGATCACTTGCTGTATATCTTAGTCGAAATGCATATAGCAAACTACTGTTGTAATGAACTAACAAGTTCTCCGCTGCAGCCCCCTATCTCTGGGACATTCTACCACTCGCCCTAAAAGTAATAGAATCTGCTGACGCTTTCAAAACTTCCCTCAAAACTCATCTGTTCAAACTTTCTTTTCCATAGACATTGTCTACAATCTTTTCTCTTTATAGCGCCATTGAGCAATATCTTTTGGAAATAGGCGCTCTATAAATCAATTATTATTATATTATATAATTTTTGAGTATGCTATAACCGTAGTCAACCTATTAAACCTTAAAAATAAACGATAAAGCTGATAAACGAACTGCCATTTCGTCAGTCTATAGCCCCTCTTGAACTGCAAGGGGTTTGCGCTTAATTCAACGTTTAATTGGCATTAGTTCAAGATTCTCGTGTTTTCACTCTTTATACCAGGGCACATATTCGTTATTTAACAATACAGAGGACTTTATTAACCTAATTGCTTTTGCATACGACCATGGGGCGTCGATGTAGTTTAGTGGCTGAAGCGTTCATCTTTCATCCTGAATAACGGGTTTGATTCCTTCCAACCAATTCAAACCCCATGGCAACAATGCAAGAGTATCTGTGTCGGCTCTCGTCGCAATATAAACGGATAATTGTTAAATTTGTATCATCGTAATAATTTTCTATTTCCCCTGACCAGAGGAGCTGGAAAAAGCATGTGGCACTTTCGGAAGGATAAGAATATATGGACAACGTTATTAATATCTTAGGAGCGAGGTTTCACATGCCTGATACAGTGTTAAAACACCTTCACCGAAACGTCGCTCCAGTTGAACTTGAGATGATGTTCATCCATGTTTTATTATCCTTCCTTAGTGAGCTGACCGCGTCCGTGGTGTAGTGGTTAGAGCGTCCGCCCGGAGAGCGGAAGGTCGCGGGTTCGATCCCCGATCGCGTCATACCAAAAGACGTTAAAATATGGTACTTGTCGGTCCCTGCCTGGCGCTCGGCATTAATGGGTACAAGGACTGGTCGGCTCGGAGTCAGTATAATGTGTCTGAGTGGGGTATTCATGCTTCACTGCGGCATGGTATCTCAGTGGGCTAGCACTATAAAACCAGCTTCAGTCTGGGCTAGTACAAGCAACCGCACATACATATACACACGCATGCACGTCGTCATATGAGCGAAATATTCTCAAGCACGACGTTAAACACAATTTCACCTCACCTCACCTCACCTCCTTAGTGAGCTAACTTCTAAATGCCTCTCGAAAACGTTATGTGGGTGAGCTATTTCATCAAGGTTATTATTATTGCAGATGTTGGGGGAAAACCGTAGATGTGATACAAGACGGTTCCCATACAGGTTACACTACACTAAATCAGAATCCGTATTTGAACAAGCACTTTTCGTAGGAATCATCTGACAGTTGTGATTGGGTGATTTTATGTAAGATGTTTGTGTTCTTTGTACATCCATCCCGTAATTATAACTGACCATATTTTTCAATATATAGTGCTGTCTTTTTTACATGATAACTTATACTGAATGTAAGCACAGGTATTGTCAAGCAGTTGACATTTTATTCGGAACTGTTTAGCTTCCTGGGTCCTTATTCTCGAAACGTTCGTAGCCCTAAGCAATTTTCAGTCCTAACCTTGCATTTTAGGTCCCACAGTATTTTATTGCTGATTTTATAAGTTTAATATATGTAGAACATAAAACAGCTGGATGCCAACTTGGCACCCTTGAGGGTTTTGAATAAAACATGTTTTAAGATGCAGCCATGACATCTCAAGCGCCAGCAGAGGACAATGTGGAGGCACAATAAGTTGTTGGGTAAGTAGCACAAAATGGAGTACTTCCTGTGAAGTCTGTTTACATTAGCTACTCAACTGAAACATCATCTGCCCAAATAATATGGCACAATGGTAAATTATTTTTGTTGTCCAACTGATTTATAACATGTACAGCATTGTAAATCAGAGTAATTGTATGAAAGATATGTGATAAAAATAATTCAGATCAAAATGCAAACTAGTGAAGCGTCGTCTGCTAGGCTTAGTATCTGCATCAGTGGAAACTTCATCTGATGTTGAAATCTATCAGAACCACTTATATATGCATTCATATATTCATGTTGGCAAACAATGTTCAAAGGTTTTCATAGAAGAAATGTCTCCATTCCCTCGAATTGATAGTCTGATGAAAACTGTGTGTACTACTTTCTGAACAACAAATCATACAGCCATTGGGCTGTATTGACTATGCAAGTAGGGACAAGTTTTTAATTATTTTTTTCTCTAAACTGAATAGCAGCATTAATCTAAGTGATAGTATTGATTTGTAGATACCATTTTCCTGTGGACTACAGTCATGACAATGATTTACATCAACCTTAAATGAAACAGATTTTTTGGCAATATGTGCCCAGTAAGGTGCTATAACATAATATGATACTTCATAATTTTAATTAAAGTAATTGATAACTGGTACAGTCTGCAGAGAATGATATTGTATATGTATTTGGTTTGTAAATATTTAAAACATTTGTCATAATTGTGTTATACCTTTCAATATACCTTGTTCAACTACCCCTCAATATTTCATTTTTGCACATTTTAAGAGAAATAAAATATATCCTTTTGTTTCTTTAATTTCAGACTGGTGTTGAGGAATGTATATTTAAGATAGTTGGCTGCTGTAGTACCCCAAATCAGAAACTGACAACTAACTCGACGACACAGCGTATCACATCTATTATTGATGCTAGCAAGATCCGACGGGATGACCTGCATTTAGAAATTGAACGAAATAGTATTTATTTTGAAGAAAATGGATTATTCTACCACAAAAACTGTGTATCTACTTACACATCAAAGACAAATCTTAAAAGACTTACAAAATCATGTTCAGAAATATGCCTGTTACAACCACCCAAAAAGAGAAGCCGTCGTTCAGATTCAGCTGCTGACTTCAACTTTCTAACATTGTGTATTCTGTGGGAGACCATGTGAAATTGAGAAAGACTCTAGAAATCCTAGACGATGGAAGAGATCTATCCTTTGCAGAACTGCGGATGATGGCCAAAGATCCTTCAAGAATATAATTCTTGGCACATGTGACATACGTCAGTATAAGTGGGGAGATGAAGTTAGACTGAGAGTAGAAGGAGCCATAAGTGATCTTCATGCTGCAGAAGCAAGATATCATGACAACTATCGTACAAATTTTATGGCCCCCAAATCTGTTCGATTAGCCATTTCAAAATTGAAAGGAACTGAGTCAAGCTCAGATGAAGCATTTGATTATGTAATTAGATCAATGAATGCTGATCGGAAACAAATCAGAAACTCCACAGAAGTATACAACCAGTACCTGGAGAGTGGTGGGGTCAAGCTTTCAAAAAACAGTTTATTGAAGAAATATCAAGGTGTTTTGCCGATGAACTGATTATTCTAAGAGGAAAAGGAATAGCCAGTATTCTTGTCTTCCGGCAAACTGCAACAGACACCCTTAAGGTGGTCCTTGATGAAACTGAAGATGATGATTTGACTTCTTCCATGAAGAAAATTTCCAAACAGGTACGACAAGAGACTAAAGAAATACCGCTTTCCAAAGAGGAATACAAAAAAAAGAATAGACTGCCAGATTGCAGGAGAGAGTTGTAGTCCAAAATTTCAAGAACTCTTGAGTTACATTCTCCAAGGTGAAGAACATGCGCTACCAGTCCTGATGATTTGTAATATGATTACTGGTCTACTAAAAAAAGCAACCAACACCACTGCAGACAAGTCTTGGAGTATTCATCAAAGGAAAAGATCTGATTCAAGAATTGAACAAGTTTGGTATTATGTGCACCTTTGATGAAGTTCTTCGATTCAAAAAGTCAGCAGCCCTTGCATCAAATGATGTCACATCTAGAGGATTAAGGTTGGAATCACCAACAGAAACTCCCCTTGTACAAGTCATAGTCGACAACTTTGATGCCAACATTTCCAGCCAAAATGGACTCCAATCAACACATGCTCTTGCAATGCTTCTAACTCAGACACTTGATGATGACAAGAACACTGGTGACAAAGACACATTTCGTCGGATAAAGAAAGAGGAAATGACACAGCAAGTGAATGATGAAATCACAGTAGAATGATACACAGGTCCCAAAAAGCCAAACATGCCTAAGGACTGCATCATGAAGTCAGTGAAACCACTGAAAATTTTAGCCATGCAGATTGTCTCGACATCACGTGCAACTGTTAGGGATGTGGACTTCTTGTTTAAAGTTGTTCAAGATGCCCCCTGTCCAGAATGGAACGGCTATAACAGTGCACTGAACAGAAGGGAAGGTCACACAGTCAGGTCGAAAACACTGATGGCTGGAAGTGGACTGTCGGACGCGCATATTCATAATAAGAAGAGACTGAAAGCTTTTCGGCGCTCTCTTCATAATGTTTTACATTGTTACATCTATATTCTTCCACAACTGCGACAGTAAGGTCTATGACAGTACATATTTAGATATCAAACTGGCTGCGTCGTTCGCTCTCCGTCGGCTTCGATGACAGCACGTGGAACCGTACAACCTATGTAAACAAAGGATCGCTACGCAAATCGAAATAGTGTTACATGTTTTTGGATATTTTCTCAGTGAAACTAAACCATTCTATTAAAGATGTTTAGTTAGATGTGTAGACTCGTCAAAAATAAAAGAGTAAAAGAAATATGTACATTATATTGAATGGACATTGCAAGATGTGGCGAATCGTCACATTTTTTTCTGGCCTGTGGCAGAGGTACTATGCTGGCTTGCCACATGGAACTCTGGGTAGGAGAGTGGTCTTACAGACATTAAATTGACAAAATAGCGTATTTTTGTTATATTTATGGCTTCAAACCGAAACCGGTTTCATAAAGAGGTTGCGGAAGAATTTTTGTACTGTAGTACAATATTTGCATGACGTCACACTGTAATGACGTCACTGCCTTGGTAACCGACGTCACGATGCAT